GAATTGATGACAGTGAAATAGATATGGTAAGAATGCAACTCCTGTTTTTTGCTTGCTTGTTGTATTTTAAGAGGTACAGATAGTTGGTCATATGAAAGACTGCTATGATTCTCTGGTAGAATTGAGCCATCTATAATGTGTGAGTTTAATATTGACATAGACCCCTTTTATGTGCTTCCTTGAAACTCCCTGGACAGCACCAACAAAATTTGACAACAGATTGCTGTAAACTGGCATTTTAGAAATCTAATAATTACTAGCCAAGACATCAGCATTTTGTCCTCAGGACAACGTTCACTAGAGACCCTGTTGTGCAGAGCTGACAGCACTGGACTGGATGAACAAATAACCTGGCCTAGTTGAAGGAGTTTGGCCAAACTAAATACACAATAAATAAATGGGATGGTATAACCACTAAACTGATTCTTGGCATTCATTATTCAGCAAACTGGAAAAGAATTGTCTCAGAGTTCTTATTTCTAACTAGTTGCAGAAGTATTTAATTTTTTTCCCCTCATTGCTTGGCAAGTAACAATTTGCCAAGTTCTAACATGCACTTCACACTATATTTGCCTTCGCCCAGTAGATGCATGAATTCATCTAAGTTTTTAAAAAGACAGTATTCAAAAGCTGCAACTTAAGGATTAGATGAAGAGATGGTGTTTTGGTGTGTGTGTATCTCAGTCTGGACAACACTGGTTCAACCAAAAATAAACACTTACCTTTTAATGGGGTCTCACCCAATTGCAAGCTCAAATTGCATAGTATTACAATAATGCAAAACATTCTGCCTGGAATGGCCTAATAGCACTGCCTGGAATAATGCATGCTTAAGTGTTCTGAAGGGCGAAGTAGAGGTTGCATTTATGTGCTTACTGAATTCAAAAGCAATTTATGTGAAGTCAGCAACAATGCCATATTGACTAAATTGGTGAAAAAACATTTTTGTATTTTTGAATTGCTAGGATTTTTTTTACTTCTACACATGTGTGAAAACTGTGAAGTAGAAAGTTGCAGATGCTGCAGAGCATGATTTTGTGTTTGCTGAGTTGTCGGTAAAATCATGACTAAATATGCCATTTAAAAACAGTTTCCAGCAGCATTTCAGTCAATATATGATCATAAAATTGCCTGCGGAAAATGTGTATTGTCTGATGTTGTCCCAGGAGATAGGTGTGCAAAATGTCTCAGGTAGCAGGAATATTAAAACATTATCTGGTAGTTGAAAACACTGTCACAGCATTTGAACCAAAAGTACTATCTTTAGAGTTACTGAGAAGATTTATGGAATCCTAAGCAAGTTCACCTCTTTCAATTCTGAAACCCATCAATGTAGTTTTCTCTCTGTGTTTATTCTGTTACCTGGTATCTTTTCCAGTCCATCACTTTAGTTTGCAACTACTTCTTCAAAGTGTACTGCATATCCAGAATTTCTGCTTCCTGTCCCTCAAGCTAGGTTATATGTGTATAGCATTGTGATATTTCTTGACAATAGAACTACTGTAGTGCACTTTTGAAACATGTCTTTCTCAAGATTAATCAGGCTCAGCAACAATAGGCAACAGTAGACACAATAGGAGATTTTTCCTCCATTCACTTATGGTTACCTGAGTGGGGCATTTTCAGGAAGGGTTGTAGGTTGCAAACTGGAGACTTAGCATTAACTTCTCTAATAGAGTGGGAGAAGAGGGGCTTATCCCTTCTCCAGACCAAAACATCATCTTCCCCTTTGTGCCTTTCTCATTACAGTAACAGCAGGTAAGAGAGAAGAGTAGACAGCAAGGCCTAGAAAAGAAAGACAGATGGATATGTGTGCAGGGAAGCCACAGCTGCTGCTTTTACCACTCTGTTGTGGAATGTAAATCTGGGAAGGTTTCAAACTGGCAACCCTAATTCATTTTCCTGGGTGTTCAGTGGAATGCTTGGGCTAGCAGGGTGAGGAACAGTCAAAGTGACCTCCCCAATTGCTAGTCTTTTACCCAGATAGCTCTCTAATTTCCCATGTGTACATTCATGCATACATTCATTAGATTTTCAACAAACAAAACAGATGTTGTGACGATTAGTGCGTCTTCTCAATGGCATTCATCATTCAGATGGGTGAATGCAGCAACTATTCAGATACTGCATGTCCTTGACTTTGGGGCATTTAAAAGTTCCTAACCTCTCATTTCTTCACTTTACATTTAATTGAGTGTTTATGATTGAATTATATTAACAGCAATTCCTAAAGAGATGAGAGGCAAGCCTTGTTGGTATCTATTTTCCACAATAATTAACTTCAGTGACAGTTTGTGTTCACACAAGCAACAACAATAGAAAAGTGTGGTTAGGAAAAAAAAACTTTTTTCTCTTTTTTAATATGGATGGGTCCCATACGCTGAATGATTGCTTTGTTAGCAAACCAGTTATCAGAAAGACAGTATTTCTGAGATGATTAAAGCCAGAGATTGAATCGGAGTTGATTTGGAATGAATGCATACCATAATTAAAATTTGTCTTACTTCTGTTTAGATGAAAATACTGGAGATGGTGAATTAGATCTAAGTGGAATTGATGACAGTGAAATAGATATGGTAAGAATGCTTCTCCCCCCCCCCCACACCTTTCATAATTGTTTCTATACATATGTGGATATGTTCAGAACATCAGGATTTTTTAAATAAGGCTAGTGTTATTGTTCCTCCCTTGAGAAAAAGAAGTTTTATTCTATATTCTGACCTGGAGCTACGTATGCTATACATATAACTAACCCAGAATAATCTATTTAATATTTAGATGAGGATGATGAATTATAGTAAATAAGCAGGTAAATACAGAGAACAGTATAGGTGTACAATTTAGCAGTAGTATAAGTAGAAACAGAAATATTTGTGATCTTTCTAAAATTGGCATCTATACTTTAAATACTTTAAAAGAGGAGGAACTACGATGCTATCAGTTACCTGTAGCAGTATTTTTAACTACTGTATTGTGATGGTATCCAGGGATCCTATAAAGCAGATAAAGAGAACTTGGAATTAGTGCTGGTCCTTATTTCTCTTCAACAGGTTGTCTTCCAGCTGGACCGGTTTGGTAGTTTCTCCTTCATCTTGTTTTTTTCCAGTTCTCTTGCCACTGTCACTCTTTCTCCCTTCTGCCACTTTGAACCCCGTTTAAACTGTCTTTGGGAAAGCATGATTTAGATTGGGTGAGGAGAATGGTGGACATGATGCAAACAGGAAAGTGATTCTGCTGATTCCTGCTACATTAGCTGCAGAAGTTTAACACTTTGACTCTCTATCTCTAGTACATACTTAATGATTCAGAAGCCAGGATAAAAGCAGAACTGTGGATGAAGGAAAATGCAGATTATCTGAAGGAACAAAAGGGTAAGCAAAATAAATAAAAATCTTTCTGGTGATTCTTGCTTGCTTTTTATTTGATTATGACAGTGTTTACCGACAATTTCTTAGGATGGAAGGCTTACAGAGTGGCAAATAATAATAAACAAAAGCATTAAACTTACAGGGCTGAAAACATTAACTGCTATAATTGATCAGTTTGAAGTAAACCATAGTTATATTATTTTTAAGAAGGTTAAGTGCAAACGTAGATACATTTTTTAATAGAAACACAGGAGCCATGATGATACTGGGGAAACTAGGATTCAAATGCCCACATAGTTTGCAGTGTGAGCTTTGGTGTCTTACATCTAGGCTATGGATTAGCAGTCTTTTCAGGGACTGGTGCCAGCATGTAATCTTCTACGATACAGGTCCCTGACCCCCAAGATAAGATAAAATAAAAATAGCCCAAACTTCAGGACAGATCTCCTCAGAACTGTGAACACTGTGCACAGTGGTTGGTTCTTGATTCCACTGTTTTCATTTGGGTGTCATAGGTGATAAATGGCACCTGTAACACTGCATTGCTGACCACTGTTCTAGATCTAACACTGCTACAGAAAATAAAAAGTTAAGTCCAGTATTTGGTTTACAATAGTTGATAAGGACATTTATTTAAGAAAGGTAAGAAAACAAGCTTTACTGTATTCTCTTTGTTACCCAAAATCTGTCTAGGCCAGAATGGGGCAAAAAATATAGTATCTGTTGAAGATTACTAAGGACAAAATAATTCCTTAACTGATTGGAGATTGCAACTATGTAGACTTGTTTAACATCAGTGTGGACAATATGGATCCTAGCTGTTTTTTAAAAAGTAGATTACGAAGCCTAAACCCAGGGCCTGCCTCTCTAGGCAGATTTTCTGTAAGAGTACTATAGGAACTCCCTTATCTCTCTAGAATACGGAAAACTGGTGGTCCCCCCTTCTTTGCCATTTTTTTCTTTTTTCCCTCTCATTGCATCAGTAGAAAAACATCAACTATGTCAGCACCAAGACTGGCATAGCTCCTTTTGGGATATATCTCCTTTGTTCTAGAAGAACAGTTTATTGATTGAGGTTCATTAATTTTATTGTTTCACCATTTTAATTAAAAAAAATGTTTTCAGAGACTTTTAAAGTTTTAACTGTCTTTGACATATGCCTAGAAAACTATGCTTAGTGGGTGGACTGAAAGTATAATCTGTTGAGAACTATAATGTCAGGAGAATAAGAGAGTTTAGATCCTGCAGTGCTCTTTAGATATCCCATGCTTGCAGATGTATTTATTTTTACTTATTTATACTATTTATTTATTTAAATAGATAAATATTACTTTATTTATGCAATTTAATGTCAGGAGAATAAGAGAGTTTAGATCCTGCAGTGCTCTTTAGATATCCCCATGCTTGCAGATGTATTTATT